AATTTTTATTCTTTCATTTTCTTGTTGTCTACTTAGACATTTTTAGATATTCACTCTTTCCTTTTTCAATCCATTATTTTGTAGTTTTCTGTATTCCAGCAACTTGATATGACATATGGCAATGACAACCTGCTGGCAATGATGCAGTAGACTAAAAAGGTTTTATCCAATAATACTGCAAAGTAAAATATTATCTTTAAGATTGAACTTAGAGGCTTTTATGCTTTCGATGAGTTAGTTAGATTAGAATAATAGTTTAGCTATAGTATGTATTATACTGCTCAAATAAAAATGTATTTATGTTTTCAATTGATTAATAAACTGACAATCTAGTCTAGCTATAGGTACTCAAAAAAAAAAAACCAAAAAAAAACAAATTTTTATTAGTTATATTTTTATATTTAAATAATATACTTGATAGTTAGAAAAGAAAAGTTTTAAAAATATATTATTTTAATTAGATAAGTTTTCTTGAAAATAACTATAATATTAAGAATAAATAACAAATATTATAAATAATCAATCATGAGCTTCAACTCTTTCCACTGATCCTCTGATTACACACAAAAAAGATGTTTACAAGAAGTTTTAATACTTCTATGCTAATAAAGTTTTACTACTTTCTTTAAAACAACCCAAAGAGTTCTCTCAGAACTCCCTTATCTTCCTTTCTTCTTATCTATAATCTTCTTTGAACAAACTGAACTATCATGGCTTGCAAAGTTCAGTTCCCACTTTTATTACCTATAACAAGAAAGTTCCTAAAGGAAAAAGGACCAATAGTAAAGTACCTTCCACCTTTTAGTTATAATGAAGATAACAGAGATTAAAAGTCAGTCAAAGGACTCAATTTTCTATCCTTTGACTGATATTGTGACCTTTCAAAACTACTCTTTTCATAGTTTTCTGAAAAATTTTACCTATTCTAGCTTAACCCTAAAATTTCAAGTAGCACGGATCTCATCAACTTTGATTGGTTGACATGAAACATATTGGACAAGATTGATAAATATGCTTCTATTGGTCACCTCATATGTCTGAATACATTTTCTCAGCTTTATAAGAACCCGGGATCCATCATAAGTTGTTTTATCTGATGCAGGTGAATACAAAACATGGCACTGACATATCATTGGATACAAGAAAGAGTCTATCCAATCATGATAAAGGTCACAAGATGCTCAATTGACTTTTTAGAAATTAGAGCCATCTATTCCTAAGTATATGCCCGGTAGGTTTTCATTTTTACTACTTGAAAAAGTCCAATTGGAAAAAGTGAAGAAAATAATTAGAAACACTCAATGATAAAGCTAGTGCACATAGTAAACCAGAAAGTTTTCATTCTATTTTCAAAAAATTCCAAGTTGGAAGACTGGAAGACTAATTTCACTTCACTAATCGAAACTCAAATCCAAAAATGTCAGCAGTGACGTGTGAACCAGCTGGATAATCCGGATGATCTTTAATGATTGTTAATATCAATGGTCATTAACAGAGTATACCAATCACGAGGCTAAATGCAGTTCTTTTATAAGGAATTAAATCTGGAATACATTGCACAGATGGGTAAGTACACTCATATTTAGATAGAAATAGATTTAATTGATGATATATTAGGAGACTTTCAAGTTATTTATGTAAATATCAATATATCACTTGGACTTTCTTGATTACTTTCTTCCTACAAGTCTTAAAACTGTAAAGGTTTCCTTTTTATCTCTATTTTATTTTTATAAAGACTTTGGAGAAATTTTCTCAGACCTTCATTAAAAGAGAAATTCAAAAACAAGATAGACATTCGCTGAAAAATACCACTGATATCTTTGTAAAATAGTATATGATTGTTTCTTTTATATTTTTTTCTTTTATTTTCTTTAATAACACCTACATATTCAACAGGATGTTGATTTTTTTATAAAAAGAGGGCAATAAGCCTTGAAATAACTTTAGCTTATTAAATTTTTTATTCACTTCCAAATATACACTTCTGTACGCGTGTATTGTGCAACTGTATAAAATAGAATTTGAAACTTAATAAAGATTAGGCATGAATCCATAAAAATATATATATATATATATAATCAATCTTTATTTTTTATAAAGTTTTTTAAATAATAAAAACTTTATTAAACAAAAGTCAAGATCTTTAAATTTATATCTTTATTAGATAAAGTTATTAAAAAGATAATAAATAAATTTATAAATTAATAAAAAATATGTTTTTTAAATATTCTTCTTAAAGTCTTTTTATTTAAAAATAATTTAGTTTCTTATCTTAAAACTAGAAAATATTTATATTAGATAAATTTCTTTTAAAAAAAGGTTTTTTAATAGATTAAGAATTTTTAAAAGTATCTTAAATTAATTTTTTTTTTTTTTGATTATTTTAATAATTTATTGTTTTTTAGAATAATCAATAATGACAATAATTCTAATAATTAAAAATCAAGTATTACTATATATTGTTTTTAAATTTGACTTGAAGTATTTAGTAGAGATTTTTTTTGTTTAGTTTATACTAGTTTAATAAAACTTTTTATATTTTTTAAATAATATAGTCCTTTAATTAATATTCTATAATAATAAGTTTATTGTCTTATAAAAATATACAAAACATTTAATAAAGTGTACATAATATTTAATCTAATAAAGGATATAAAAAAAAAATAAGTTAATTGTCTTATAAGAGCTTATAAATTAATAGATATTTATTCAATATTTTAATAAAGATATAATTGTAAATAAAAAAAAATATTTAATAAATTATTAAAAAATATTTTTTGAATAGTTTTATATTAATGAGATAATAAAAATAAATTGTAAAAAAATAATTATATTAAATAGTTACTGTATATATTTTTATTTTATTATAAATCGAATTTAAATAATTCTATAATAATTTACAAATTCTTAAACAATATTATATCAGTATTACTAAACATGATTTATTTAATAACTAGCTCAAAAATAGGCAATGTTTAAAAAAAAAACAAGACTTTTTATTTTTTTAATTAGCCTAATCAAATAATAGATTACTATTACATGACTTACTAATTTTGTAATATATTACTATCACGTGACATTATATCACTTAATAACTAATTTTGTGATTGTTACAAGTAGTGACGTCTATATGTTATGCACAGCCTTGCAAACTATTCGAGTTCACGCTATCTCCTGCGCCCTTTCATATTAATAGCAGCCCGTAAGGTCGCCATGGTTATTAATACCGCTTCCTACAAACGATGACCACAATATTGCAAACTTAATTAAGCTATGAACGAGGTGATCAATAAATGCATTCATGATTAATGTACCTCGGTTCTTATTGTCCGACTTCCTTGATCCGGGCATGTATTTATCCATAAATCAAAAAGGGCATCTGCTTCTTCGCCGGTGCATTTTAAATCTTGATCAGCATCTATAGATATTTCCAGTCCTCCTAATCCTCCGAATACAATTAATAGATGACTGCAGAATAATCAGTAAATCTGGTCAGATTTTTTTTTTTTTTTCGCAAATACGGATCGTAGCTGCAATTTTTTTTTTAAAAAAAAACCCCCCACCTGAATTCAGGCAATTCATTTATTAAATCATCCATCGATTTGCCACGTTCAGAGGTTCCTATGGTCACGTCATATCCGCCCTATGAATGCAAAAAACGTTAACAACTTCATCAAAGGAAAAATAAAATAAAAACAA